CGAGGATCTGGCGTAGCGTAAATACGTGATCAACGCAGCTCCGGCCAGGGTGGAATCCGGCTTGTTCTTCGTGAATATGACGCTCTCTTCTCCAACTGAGCCTGCGAAGGATCAACGACGTTAACAGCTTGGATGCAACAGAGATGAGACTGATCCCTTGGGGATTGGAGTAGTCGTGGCGAGGGCCCTTCTTGAAAACAGGTACGACGTCAGCCAAATTCCATTCGGATGGAATGGATTCAGTATTCCAGATGGTTTGGAATAAGGAAGTTAGTTCGCGAACAAAGCTTGCACCACCGTCTTTGAAAAGGGTCGGAGGAAGCTCATCTGGACCGGGCGATTTGTGGCGTTTCAGAAGTCTGAACTCTCGGAAGACTTCTTCTTCCGTAGGCGATGAAATGTCCACAGACCATGAAGCACTACAGACATCGGGAGATGGAGGTGATGTCGGTGGCCAACTGGATTGTTGATGAAAGTGCTCCGCCCAGCGCCCAAGCCAACGTTGTAGATTGTGGATACATTCGCCATTAATTTCGCATATGGTTTCACTGACTCATGGTTTTCTGTTACCGGCGGCTCGGATCAGTCGAAAAAGTTTGTGAGCATTCCCGGAAGCAGAGGCTAGTTCCATCTCGGAAGCGTGTTGTGCCCACCAGGTCTCTCGATCCTCTTTCAGGAACCGTTTCAGTTCAGCACTAAGAGTCCTGCGAACTGTGTTGTATTCATTGCCTGGAGGGATGCTTCGACGAGTGTCGAGGAGTTGGAGAGAACGTGCCGAAACCCAGTTATTAACGGTGCGTTTGGTGAAGCCCCATGTTGTGGTGGCGGACTTATGCATGACGTTACGGATGTGAGTCCACTGGTTGACAACGTTCGAGATTGAGACTGTCTAGATCAGCAGCTAACGTGTTTAGGTAGGCAGTAACTACGTTTGGGTTGGTCAGTTTCACCAAATCGAGTCTTCCCGGGTGACGTTGCTGTTTTCCGCAGAGTTTCGCGCACACGAGTGCATGATCAGAACTGTGATAAGTGCTCCAGATGGATTTGCAGTCCGTTATGCAATTTCTTCATCGATATCTGATGGCAATATCATCATCTATCATCTATTTGAGTCCAGAACTGATCAGACGATGGAGGTCGCCAGGTAGCACGTTGGCACCATGGTTGGCGAAAATTGGTGCTCGAAAGGAAGAGACTGTGTTCAGCGCAGATTTGCAAAAGACGGCCGCGGTTGTCGGTTCTCATAACACCGAGACTATGCTGGCCACCAAGTGAGATTTCGTCAGCGTTTAACCTACCTACTTGTGTATTCAAGTCGCCGGCTAGTATCACGATGTTAGTGTGTCATCTACTGTGGACCAGGTTGGTGAGCTGATGGTAGAACCAGTCTTCTTCGTGTCGGGACTGCAGTCCGTCGGCGCATAAGCCACGATGACGGACAGACAGAGCTTTTTTGTCCCATAACGAGATGCACTCACTGATCCTTTTAGACGGATGACGCAGTCGACTATTGATTGGAATCCAGTCGAGNCAGAACCCGCAGACGGTGAGTGAGTTACAGTACGGTGCTCAAATCCTGTAGCCGTGTCTCAGTAAGGCAGCAAACGTCCATGACAAGCGTTTCCAGTGTGCGAGCGAGTGTTGCCTGAGCCCCAATTTGCATAAATGTTCAAACGTTGAAAGTCCCTAACTTCATCTGCGACCGGGGCGCGAGTACTTTTTTCGGAATAAC